CAAGGGCATAGCCATTTTGCCCCATGTGTCTGCTCGGACAGTCTGGACACAAAAACAACCACCAAACGGGCTACCCCAAACCTAGCCCATATGTTTGGCTTTTCGGACTCCCCCAAATCCGGCCCATGTGTGGGGGGCAAAATGGGTCTTGCAAGACTATCCGTCACGTCGCCCGATGGGAGCTCCTACTCAGCGCTGTAGGCGCCCAAACATGCAAATGGCGCCTACAGCGCGCCCTCTGTGGGCCAATTCTACACTCGGCCCAGAAACAGAGTCGTTCGCGGAAAAAGGGATGCAAAAAATTGACAAAATGGGGATTCAATCTCGCGCCACACTTGCCTGTAATTTCTTCTCTTAACCACTACAGCTAAATAACAATAGTGAACAAATACAACGCGAGTTGTTTTAGAACTAATGCGACGCGCTATTTATTAATCAGCCATTTACTATACCACTGAGATTTTTTAGTTATTTGGAAACAATTGGGAAAATGTCTATTTTTCTAATAAAAAACAGTTCGTTCAATTGTGGAAAAAGTTCATGAATTTCACAAAAGTTCATCAGTTGTTGAAAAAAGTTCATCAATTTTGAAAAAGTTCATTGAAAATGAAAAAAAATTATCGGATTTGAAAAAAGTGAACTGGTTTTGAAAAAAATCATTGAATTTGAAAAATGTTCACCAATTTTGAAAAAAAATCATCGATTTCTAAAAAAGTTCATCAATTTTTTTTAAAAAAATCATTCAATTTGAAAAGGATCATCGATTTTGAAAATAATCATCAAACTTGAAAATAGTTCATGTATTTGAAATAAAGTTCATCGGTTTTGAAAAATGTTCACGAACTAAAAATCCGTGCATTTAAGAAAAAATAAAAGAAAAATGAAACGAAGTAGACGAAAAGAAAATAAAGAAAAAGAACAAAACGAACTGACAAAGCAATAAAAGAGGAAAACGAACGGACAGAACAAGAAGCTGGTTAGTGGCCTGGTGATTATCGCGCATGCTTTACCTTTTTTAGATAAAACGAAGATGAACCATTTTTGAGAACAAAGAGGTAGTTGGGCCGGCCCACCACGGGGGCTGCGGGCGCCCGTTAGTTTGCGAAATGCATACTAATGGGCGCCTGCAGCGCCAAATAGGAAACGCCCGGACCGACAGCATGCATCCACCCCTTTTATACCCAATCCACTCTCCCCCTCTCCGCCACCTAATCTCTAGCCGACCACCACGTGCCAAATTCTAGTTATAACTAACTTAGCACTTCTGAAAAAGAATAAGGACCTGTGATGCGATTTTTACTCAAAAATGTCAATGAAAAAAAAATGACACATTGGTGCTTTGCATTTTGAAAGAGTTATAGATCCATGGAACTGATGCAAGCTACCTCTGTGATCCGACTCACCAGAACAAGGAAACACGTAGGATTGTAATGGCATGTCATCATCTTGGATCCAATCTGATTTAGAATTTTTGTATGGATCGCAGTCATGATAGTCAAACAACCCATAGACGTATCGTTCTAAGAATTATAAAAATCCTCATAATGCCAGAATAAAATAGGCTTAGCTCTAAGAATAATAAAAACCCTCGTTTATATTCCATTGAATCAAATAGGCTAAGGCAACATGCAACGTTTTTATTCTTGGCTGTAGACGATGCTGGCCAAATTGATAATGGCACATCATTTTTTGTTGTTGCCAAATTTGGAAGTTTCATGTATCAAATCTTTCCCTTCATCCCATGGTCTTCAAATGGGACCAAACACACAGCTTCAACCGTTTAAACCCAAACTCACTTCCTCTACATGTCATCAAACAAACCTAAATAGGACCATCTTTACAAAGGCAAAACAATTTATTTTCGGATAAACTTACACAAGCAGCAAACTTAAGAATCGCTTTGCACAAAAAGAGAAAGACAAAAGGCTTTGCGATGAGCGGCAAAATGGAGGATGCAAGGCTACATACACCATTTTCTCCGGGAAAGAATGAAGCATGCAACTGAGACCGGTGACATGTCATTCATCGCCAGGAACACAGCGGTGCGGTTGTCCTGGCTAGTAGGGCTCCAGGGATTCAACGACTCTCCTCGCTTGTATTTGCAGGGCCATCTGCCTCTGCTCTGCATCGAGGGTGGATCCAAACCGGCTCGCTGCCCATATGAGTGACGCACACTGCTCCCCGAGTAAGTTTCTCATCTGCTCATGTATGGGAGTGTTTTCCTTCACATAAACATGCCCGATGAGCAACAGTAAAAATTCCCCGCATTTCAACCTGCATTATTAAAGTGTTAAGCGAACAAGAAAATTCAGTCAATCGAACAACAACTAAACAAACTGGAGAAACGAATATGCAGTTGATACTGTTTCTAGTAGAGAGGAGCTGGAGAGGCCAGAGCTTTGTAATAGAAATTCAAGACTAGGAAGGCATAATATTCAGCTGCTTATCTCAACCGTTCATCGTGTACACGCTAAGCCACCCAAAAAATATAACAATAATGAACACGTAGAGGTCAACAACTGATACATTTCAAAGATAGCGACGCAGTGGGCATTTCTGTAACCAAGCCAGACTTGGACATGTAGAAATCTTACTTGTTCATAATTCTTCAATTTAAGGATGAGATGTAGGCAGATCAATCAGATGAATGAAGTATCTTTTAGCTATAATTTACATGGGACTGGGACAATAACTTAGGTTCAAATTGTTGGGCATGCATTCAGAGTTAATATAAGAACACTTCAGGATTTATACTTGCCTTATGTGTTCTTCCACTTGAATATCCTTCAAAAGCTCAGCAACCTTTTCAAGTCCACTGTATTCCTCAAAATCCTGTAGAAGGAAGCAGTTATATAAGGTACAGACTAGCTGAAGAACAAAAATAATGCAGTGACCAGAAATAATCAAGCCCAACAATTTATTTAACGCGCTCACACCGACTATTAATCATGTTCTGGAATAAAAATTAGTACTCAGACATACTGGGCCAAACAGAGCATATCTTGAAGGACAAATCATCAAAGATTTAGGTATTTCAACCATGCCAGAGCTATCTGCTACTCCCTCCGTTCCGAATTACTTGTCGCAGGTATGAATGTATCTAGATGTATTTTAGTTCTAGATACATCCATTTCTGCGATGAGTAATTTGGAACGGAGGGAGTAGATTATTTGGAACTTCTTTCTTCTATACATAATTTAAGACAACAGTAACAGATTGAGGAAAGAGGTAAAGCGTACAATCTGATTCGAAGGTGAATCCAACATCAACGATATCAGAGCATCTAAGCACACCCCTTGCTCAGTTGGACCTCGGCTGGCTAATATATTCAGCAGTACCTACACCAATCAAAGTCATTAATTGCACTAAGAAGACCCAAGAACAAATAGTGCTAACAAAACAAATGAGCGGCGGATACCTGCACAGCCTTGTACTTGTGGGCCAGAGCAGTGCATCTGCTATACAAAAGGCAGCAACCTTCCAAAACTCGAAGAGCTAGAGCAATTTCGGAATCTGTTGAGGGGCTCGTAATCTTGGTTGGTTCGACTCCAAATATATGGTCCAATGTCACAGCAGGATCCTTTGGTTGATGCAATGAATTCTGAAAGAGAACTGGAATAACTGTCACAGAACATAAACATGTCAGCATCGCTCCTTACTCAGGTGCACACGTACATTTCAGCCAAATAAATGTGTATCCTAATAACACTGAGTGATGACACTGTACACACCAAAAGAACTAAGTAAGGGAAAAAGACTTGGTAGTTTTCTTTGGAATCCCGTGACAAGCTACATTAGACCCTAATGATCATTCGACTCCAAGAAATCCAACACCGGACTAATTGATTTACAGACAAGGGAGCCCAGTCCAGTTTGTATCAAAATTCGCGGTTCATTTATGGTATTCCAAGCTGAGGCTGAGAGCTGCAACGCTACGAGGGTTGTGGGGTATAAAACCCCACTCACAGTCATGCATCCATATCAGCAAGATTGTTTTTCCATTTATAAAAAGCTAAACCTAATATAGCACGCGCCGGTCAGGCTGAATAACACAATGAAAGATCATGGAGCTGGTTGGGACATTTATCACCTAAATACTGAACAGCATATTCCGACAAACTGCTCCCACAAAACAGCGCCGACGAAATAACTCAAAGCCTACCGCGTGTAATTCCCAACAGAGGTTCCCCAATGCTCCTACTGGTTACTCAATTTTAGCCATTGCTACTAGACAAGCATAATATAACTAGCATTTCCCCCATTGATTCCATCCAAACACCCACTGATCATCGGCGTTGCGTTGATTCCATCATCAGGCCCCAGTATCCAGTGTGTTCTCTATCGCGTTGGGTGGATCAACATCGCCGAAATGGGCGGGGAGATCGACCGTGGCCAAAAGAAATCACCTTGGAGATCGGGGATGGACTGGGAGTGGCGGAAGAGGAGCAGCTGCGAGTCTTCGGGCGCGGCGGCGGTGGAGCGGAGGAAGCCGAGCAGGCTGCGGAGCCCCCGCGCGCGGAGGAAGGAGAAGTCGGCCCCGGCGTCGCGCAGCCCGGCCCGCAGCGCCAGCGTCACCTCCCGGTACAGCCGCCGCCGCGCCAGCGCCTCCGCCAGCTCCCCGCCCCCCTCCGCCCGCGACGACGACCCCTCCCCTCCCCCCGCCTCCACCGCCCCCTCCTTCCGGCTCATCCCCGCCCCCGCCTCCGGTCGCCGGCGACCTCGCCTCTCCTCTCTCCCCGCTGCTCCTTTCTTTCTCCCAAAATTCCCCTTTTTGCCCCTGGGTCATCGCCCAGAGAACCCAACGCCTTCTTCTTACCACCCGAAGCCCACTCCCGGCCCAACCAACCCGCAGCGAGGCCCAACGGGCCCGGAGCAGTGACGGGCTAGGGAAGCCCAGGCCCAACGAGCCCGGAGTGGTGGCTAGTGGAGGGAGGGGAGGGCCGCCTGGCGCCGCCAAAACCCTCAGAAACCCCCGGCGAGCGGCGAGGAGAGGCGGCGGCGGCGATGGCGACGGCGACGAGGGCGAAGGACCTGGCGCGGAGGTCGCCGAAGAAGTACGTGGAGGAGGCGCTCTACCGGCGGCTGTTCCGGCGGGGGTCGACGCCGCAGGCGGTGCGGGAGGAGGTGGACGGCTTCCTCGGCAGCCGCAAGCGCGCCTTCAAGTGGGAGGTCGGCGTCTGCGTCCGCCGCCTCCGGCGCCAGGAGCTCTACCGCCCCGCCCTCAAGGTCCGCCCCCCTCCTCCCCTCCCGATCTCGTCGCTAGCCTCGGTTCCTGCTCCGTGACGCCCTCCGTCACTGTTGCGGCAGACTAGATCTGACGGCGGTAGTATGGTCACGGCGGGGAATAGGCCATGTGAGACGCTGCTTACTGGTGTGTTAGTGTGCCATGAGTTACTTTTCATGCAAAGATCGAGATTTGTGTTGCAAATTAGCTTCGTAGGCCTCAAAATCATCGGCTTGCTTGGCCCTCTGGAATGCTTAATTTGGATTACTATCCGTCTTGTCTGTTTGCTCTCTGGATATCCACATCGTTTTGTGTGGGGGTTTTGATGCTGTCGAATTGCTGAGCGAAACAAGGGTAAATGTCGAAACATTGAAATGAGATGCCCCTCTAGGTGCCCTACGTTTATGCTCTCCCTCTGTCCAGTGCTGTTCATGCTAACAGGACAGGTTTGTTGGTGGTGGTTCAGTTGTGGAACGTACTCCCTCCGTTCGGAAACACTTGTCTTAGAAATGGTTGTATCTTGGACAAGTATTTCCGAACGGAGGGAGTAGTTGTGAGTGGTGTTGGATAGATATGAATTTTGTTGTTCAAGTCATGCCCTGTTCCGGTTTGCTGAATGCAGTGTAGGCTGCTGGGATACACAAGTTGGATCGCACACTTTGGTTGGTTCAGATAGTCGATTGTCCATAGATTGACTCCATTTCCGCTAAAAGTCTGTCATTTCTGTGTTACAGCTGGCCTGTTCATCTGTATGCTTCACTGCGTTGATAATGCTTATCTGCGGTTTTATGAATTACCTTTAGCTTCTCTCTGCCTGTTTCTCTTACACAGTTAGGTTCTTAGTCTTATGGTTTTGTCTTGGCACTGTCTCATTCATTTTTTCTATTGGATGCCTCATTCTAAATAAGCATGGCCTCACATGCTCTGTTACCTGTTGACTGTTGTTGTCAATAATCAAGGTGATCTATTCCCCATGTCTTACATCATTGCAAGTTGCTATGCTTGTATCATATTTAGTATCATAGTAATCTTTGTCGGAGTTTGCTTAGTATCTTTTCACAGGTTAGTTGTTATGTTTTTAAATGTTCCCATACTTATTGGCACTGAGCACACTTTGACCAATTTTTTCGGATGTTTGTCGCCATATTTGCTTTGTAAATAATATCTTTTCTGGACCTAATGCTTTTAAATGTGCTTTTTCCATACTCAGTGTGAACCTTTCTATGATCTTTCCTTGCATTATTTGCACCTAGAGTGGACCCTCTCAGTTAGATAACTGTCTAACTGGGCATTTGACTTTTCTAGCAATACTACATTTGTTTGAATTTTGGTATGAGACAGTGTAGATAATGTTTCAGCTGCACGGTTTTGAACGACTTCTCTATTCTTTGGCCTGCTTTTTTTCTTTTAGGTTAAACCATATATGTGACATTATGGACTGTGAAATTCTCTGTTTTGTTAAATTGTGCCAGTTTACCTGGACTGTAATTGTCCATGCAATCTACACTGCTACATAACATAACAAAAATTATAGAACTGGTCTGTAATTGTCGACTCAATGGAAATAATACTTTGTGTGGTCCATTATGGTCTGTTAGATGCATTCCATGACATTTTAAATACTACCATGACTGCTTGACATCTGGCTGTAGTACTCCTGCTTCCCGGTTTTTTCCAATGCTTTGTACTAGCTGGTTAGTTGCCTACCAAGTTGTGCACTCTAGTTCTGTTGCAACCTTTCATCTGTATGTCCCTCAATCCAGTAGTAGCCTGTAAATGTGTATGTAAGTGCTGTTGTAGTATTAGCTCCCTCTTATTCATGTTACTACTATGTGAACATTAAAGAGTTTACACTGATGGGCGTCCATTGTCTTTTCATTCTTAGTTTGCCTGGAGCAGCACTAGTAAAGTCACCTATATTTCTTTTCACTGCTCAAGTTCTTGTGAATAACTTTGCTTAAAACAGTTTTCTCTTTTTGATTTTTATGCCCTGATTTATTATGATGATGTGCCAAGTGAATCAGTACAGAAAATGCATATACTCCCTCCAATCCATATTAATTGACGCTTACTTAGTACAAGTGGAGTTGTATCAAGTGGGTGTCAATTAATATGGATTGGAGGTAGTATATCCCACTTGGTGATTATTATATGATTTTGAATGTTGCATATGTGCCTGTGGTGGTCCTTTACCCCTTCTATTGTTTATTTCCGCAGCTTACTGAAGTTATGACTAGAAGAGGCATGAATCCTACAGTCGGTGATCAAGCAATCCGCTTGGATCTTGTTGCCAAATCGAGAGGCATCGCTGCTGCTGAGAAGTACTTCATGGACCTCCCAGAAACTTCTAAAACACATCTCACATATGGCGCTCTTCTCAACTGTTACTGCAAGGAGTTAATGACTGAGAAGGCTGGGTCCCTTATGGAGAAAATGAAGGAGCTCAACTTTGCTTTCACTGCTATGTCCTACAACAGCTTAATGACACTATACACCAAGGTCAACCAACCTGAGATGGTTCCCAGCATCATCCAGGACATGAAGGCAGATGATGTATTGCCTGATGTCTATACCTATAATGTTTGGATGAGGTCCCTTGCAGCTCGTCAAGACATATTAGGGGTTGAGAGGGTGATTGAAGAGATGACAAGGGATGGCCGTGTTGCTCCTGATTGGACAACATACAGTAACCTGGCTTCCATATACGTTGATGCTGGACTGCCTGAGAAGGCAGAAGCCGCTCTTAAGGAGCTGGAGAAGCGCAACACTGGCAATGATCTTGAAGCCTACCAGTTCCTCATTACACTGTATGGGCGAACACAAAATTTAGTGGAAGTTCATCGTGTTTGGCGGTCATTGAAGCGGAATAATCCTAGGAAGGCAAACATGAGCTATCTTAACATGATTCAGGTTCTGGCGAACTTGAAGGATCTGCCTGCTGCTGAGGCCTGCTTCAAAGAGTGGGAAGCCCGGTATATCCGTCCACCTAAGACTAAAGCAACTGATGCTGTGACAACTGAAACTTCTAAGTTGGAAGAAGAAGCTTCAACCGAGGCATCTAATAATGATTCTGATGTTAAGGAAACAGAGGACAAGGTAACAGAGGAGCTTGACCTGAAACGTCCTAAATACGACATCCGGGTTGCAAATGCTCTGATGAAAGCATACGTTACAGAGGGTATGCTTGACAAGGCCATTGCTCTCAAGAAGCGTGCCAAGATGCGCGGAGGAAGGCTTAACGCGAAGACGTGGGAGATTTTCATGGAGCACTATCTCAAGGTAGGGGATCTGAAGAATGCCCATTGGTGCGCCGACCGTGCAATCAAGAAGGGGCACAGCAGCGGCAGAATCTGGGTGCCGCCACATGACGTGACTGAGACCTTGATGGGCTACTTTGAGAAGAAGAAAGACGTGGACGGCGCTGA